CAACACCTTGCCTCTTACTTACTATTAAATTCATTTGTTTTAGTCAGGAGTGCAGGCAGGTGAAAGTCTTAAGTCTCTTAAATGCACTGGTAGTTCAAAAAGATAGTCGAAAAAAAGAAAAGCCAACAATAGAGCTAGTGTGTAGACTGCCAGCATTTTTTTCATCATAACTTATATCTCTTTCATAAAAAATGACAAAAAAAGAAATAGTGTTCTCTGCTTTCTTCCTGCACTATATAAATCCACACAGTTACATGGTGCGAGTGGAGAGCTGTGAAATGTTACTTTTTTAGATTATTTTTGTGCATGTGCACGCTAAGTTCGCAGTTTCCTTTTTCTAATAAATGCTGGAACGGAACACTTTTGCTAACTGGAGAATGCTTTCTGTATTGTTCAAGCCTGTGCTGCTAAGGCATATTCTAGGCCATTCAGCATATAACACTTCATTGCATCAAGAAATATGACTAAAAGTTCAATTTTGAACTTTTGTGTTCTTAAAGTAATATCGATGCTATTAGTTCTTTAAGCAGCTGGTTTCTTCAAGGCTATTTATTGATAATTTTTGTTGTTTCAGACTGCTACAGAGCACGTCTGGAGCATCAAGGCGTGCCTGCAGGAGTACTGCCGTTGGCAGTCAAACAGATGAACCACTTCATTGTTGAGAAGCTTTCAGATATTGAGAAGCTTGCCAAGCGGTAAGATAAGTGTGTTCTTTGTGTCAAAGGACTCCCCCCCCCCCCTTTTTTTAAGAGAAACTTGGCCATATTCATCTGCTTGCAACATGCATGTACAGAAAGAGACTGAGAAAATTTGGAGGCTCGTCTGGCATTTTGGCGCAGCGTGGCGCAATATGGTTTTGGCAGCTCGGCGCAAAAGCGGGGAATTGTATCAAATTCGCGTAATTGGCACAGCTGTTGTACCCCTTCAACATGCATAGCTATTTTTATGTTAATGTTTTTATGTTAAATCACATCTAGACTTGGAAGAATGTAAGCCATTGTGTGGCTGACTAAATGTATAAATTCTGCAAAACATTTGCAGGGCGAAGGACAACCAGGGCGTTGCGGAAGTTTAACAGAGGAGGACCATTGGTGCATTTTCTAAATAGTGTAAATATTATGGAATGTGTGAATAAATTTTCATTCTTTCATATTTTTTTTTTCTCTACCATTGTTTTTATCTTGTATGTGCATGCATTTGAGTGTGCATTAATGTCACATTCACACTAGGTAATCCAGCCTGTGCTGTTTCCACTGTGTTGTGAAATTGCAATTAATGAAGTGCAGTGTGATGACAGCCAGCCTTCTACAGGATTGTCATTTTCTACTTGCATCCGCAGAAATGTGATAATCATGTTTATAGGTCAGCCAAGAGACTGCAATTACTACACTACTACTTAGCTTCAGTTGGCTCTCTCTGTATACCAACCACTGGCTGGCTGAAATGCAGTTAGCAATTTAGCGTCAACCAAGTGCTTACCAGAAACTAATGGCCAGCCATATTAAATTGGCTTACCAGGTAGAATGGTGACTGGCTAAACACCAGCTTTTGTCACTGGGCCAATCATCTGGATACATGCAGTGCAGCTTGGTCGAAGACCAGAGAGTCACAACGCAGACGAGCGCTTGTCTGTGTTCTTTGTCTAAGTTCGCGCTGCATGTATCCAAGTATGTATCAACTAGCCCAACTCAACCTTTTATTGAAACATATGGAATCATTGGAGTCTCAATTACCATCAAAGTGCTGACCATTTGCAACAATGTGGGAAGTCATGTGGTTACCAGCCACATTGAATTTGCTTACCAACTAGAATGAATTGGGGGCTGTTTGGAATGCCAGTTACGATCAGTGGGCCAAACATCTGGAACCACAGGATTACCAGTTAGCTTCAACGGGTTAGTCTACTGAGACCTGCCGGGCAACCACGTGCCTACCATTAATTTTCAATGGGTTGACCATTTCAGGTCAACGGGTTTTCTATTCACCACCAGTTGGCTTCAACAGGTCAGCCTATTCACACCAAGTGGACAACCACCAGTATACCATTTAGTATAAATGGGTTGACCATTTTAGGTCAATGGGGTTTCCTATTGACCACCAGTTAGCTTCAACAGGTCAGCCAATTCACACCAGGTGGACAACCACCTGCATACCATTTAGTATTAATGGGTTGACCATTTGAGGTCAATGGGGTTTCCAATTGACCACCAGTTAGCTTCAACAGGTCAGCCAATTCACACCAGGTGGACAACCACCTGCGTACCATTTAGTCTTAATGGGTTGACCATTTGAAATCAACGGGATATTTAATTGACCACCAGTTAGATTCAACGGGTTAGCCAATTCACACCAATTGGACAACCACCAGCGTACCATTTCGTTTTCATGGGCTGGCCATGTGAGGCCAAAGGGGCTACCAGTTTGTCACCAACCAATTTCAAATGGTGCGCACCATTGCAACTAACTGGCAATTGCTCAGCACCAGCCACACTTAACTGGTAGCCAATGGGGTCCCCTGTTGAACCAGTTGCATTGAAGTGGTGAGCCACTTGGATCCCCCTTTGGAATATAAGGGTTTACCCATTGATTCGAACGGGATAATGTTCAATGGGTGGCGAAAATCCTACTGGTCCAACACCCATTGATTTTAAATGGAAATTTTCCAGTTGGACCCATTGAATATTTTTGACTGGGGAGCAGAAAGGTAGATCTTAAAATTAATCTGCAGGAAACGAAAGTAATGTACAGCAACCTCGGAAGAGAACAGCACTTCGAGATAGGTAACAGTGCACGTGAAGTTGTAAAAGACTATGTCTACTTAGGACAGGTAATAACTGCGGAGCCGAACCACGAGATTGAAGTGACTAGAAGAATAAGAATGGGGTGGAGCACATTCAGCAAGCACTCTCAATTGATGACTGGTAGATTGCTACTATCCCTCAAGAGGAAGGTGTATAACAGCTTCATCTTGCCAGTACTTATTTACAAAGCAGAAACCTGGAGGCTTACAAAGAGGGTTCAGCTTAAAGTGAGGACAACACAGCGAACCATGGAAAGGAAAATTATAGGTGTAACCTTAAGAAACAAGAGGAGAGTAAAGCGGGTCAGGGAACAAACCGAGGTCAAGGATATTATAGTTGAAATCAAGAAGAAAGAAATGTATACGGGCCGGGAATGTAGCGCATAGGCAGGATAACCGCTGGTCATCAGGGATAACTGATTGATTCCCAGAAAAGCAAGCGAGTTAAGGGGAGACGGAAAATTAGATGGGTGGGCAGATAAGATTTGAAAGTTAGCAGGTATAAAGTGGCAGCAGCAAGCACAGGACCGAGTTGACTGGCAGAACATGGGAGAGGCTTTTTGTCCAGCAGTGGACGAAGTCAGGCTGATGATGATGATGATGACTGGTCAGGTATCAATCAGGTTTGACTGGGTATCACTTGGCAATCACTGCACCAAAAAGCATAATTTAAAAAAACAATGTCGGTATCTTTCTATTCATTTCTCTCTTTCTTGCTCTCTATCTTCCTTTCCGTGTTTTCTCTCGCGGTATTCTATTCCTTTCTCTCTTTCTTGCTCTTATCTTTCCGTGTTTTCTCTCACTGTATTTCTCGCTTCTACTGTCTAGCTCTTTCCTTTTCTCTCTCTCTCCCTCTCCTTTTTTTCTTCTTCTGTCTTGATCTCTATTCCATTCTCATTTTGTATTTCTTTCTCTGTCTTTCAATCTTTTTTTTTTCTGTTTCTTTGCTCTCCCTCTTTCTTGCTGTCTCTCTGTTCGGCCATCCGAGTTATTGCATTCCACGCCGGATAAATCGGCGCAGCTGGAGAGTGAGTGCGGTCGAGAAGCCAAGCAGAACATGAAGCTGACAAAAAGAACGTGCACCAGCATATGATGGTGATCGTTTCTCGTTTACATAACAAAACAGGCGAATGGTGGGTTTTACAGCTTTGCTGTGAAAACCGTTGTCATTAACTGTTAGTTGGGATGAAAATGATTATTCTCACATATTTGTAAATTACTCTTTGATAATTCCAAAGTCGTCATGCTTACAGAGAGAAGACGACTGGTGTGCGAGAAAGCACGAAACAAAAAAGTGGGGGGGTGGCGACGCCTCGTGGATGTTCCCGCACCAAACGCCGTGGCGTCCTAGATTTAGACGGTGTCTTATAGGTTCTACGTTCTTCCTAATCCGTAAAAATGAAGTGCAATGTCCTCTGAGAAAATCAGCGTATCAAGTTAACCAAGTCTCAAAAAGTTTTGTTGAGCCAATGTCGTTCGCCAAAAAACACTCGGAGTTCAGTGACCGCGCGTGCTGATTTTGGCACGAAATTTAAAAAGGAAGCTTTGACCCTGATATTAAAAAGGTTTGTGGTGATGAAATTAACGACACCAAAGTTTTCAAAAAATAATTTATCAATCTAAGCCAATTCGTTATTTTACTTCAGTGCCGCTTTAAGCAAGACTGAATTGATGTTTAATTCAATTGAAATTTATGAACAACAGTATTCAGCATTTCATCTGGGCTCTTAGCATTATTGATAGTTATGGGCTCGTGCAGCTGTTATGCAAGTAAACTTTTTGATGTAAAGATGTAGATGCCGTGAAATATAAAAAGAAAAATGTAATCCATGCAAGTATGAAATTGTTTGTTCAAAATCCTGAAGCACAATACAGTGTGGTTTCAAACACCATGTTGATACCGGCTCGAGACACGTCTAATTGGGGATTGCTCAGAGAGGCATTCATAGTGCGTGATAAGCTTATGGATAGGCGTCTTGCTGCTGTGTTTGAAGTAGCAGATTTTATCCCGTCTATGACAGTCTCCCTTTAATGGGGTCGGAATGGCAAAACACTCATGTACCGTGCAATAGGCTCGTGTCAACAAACTTTTCGCACGTGTTCATTTCGTGCGCGTTATGCCACTGTCCGGCAGAGAACTATACAGGGCTTCGATGGTTTAGATATCATGGTGCATTTCTTCTCACTGGAATCCTCTCACCTGCTTTTTGGATGCGCGCCGCATTCCACGTGCGGATCAAGGAGCCCTGCAACTGCCCTGCCGCGCCTCTCCTCCAGTTATCCAAAAGGAAATCGTCATTGAAGGGCCAATCAACAGGCTCCGAAACGCGCATGAAAAGCTCGCACATTTTCCCTGCGCGTGACCAACCTCCTTATGCGCGCAGTGACGTCAACTGGACGATTAGTGACGTTGGCTTTGTTTTTCTTTGCCGAGACCAGGTTTAGACCGATCGAGGAGCTGCGCGCTACGTCAAGTCGCCGAGTTGACGTCGCGTATAAGGAGGTTGGTCACGCGCAGGGATAATGCGCCAGCTTTTTCCTGCGCGTTTCGGAGCCTGTTGACTGGCCCTTTAATAAAAACACAAAATGAAATACGCGCGTACATAAGCAGCGGCAAGCGGACGCCACATATGCCGTTGACGAAAACGAAGCTTTGCTTTCGGTCGGCTGCTGCCAGGCATCGCGTGCACAAAGAGCTGTCGCGAGATCACGGGGGATCATGTAAGACTCGCACAATCCTGCTTGCATGGCGAGATCATACATTCGCGAATGACCATGCATCGGTCATTTGCGAACGTATCATGGCGCATTCTAATTCGCCGAGAGCAAAGAGATTCGGTGTTTGCTTACAAATATGTCCAATAATAAATCATCACACTCAACCCCGCTGTGTGCATTCCTGAATGAATCTTCTCAGTCCATCTCATCTTCATATTTCTCGTTAATGTTCCCTTGAGGTCCCCAACTATAAATGCGCGCATCTGACGCGGGAAATTGACACCGGTCTCATACACGCAGGCCGCATACGGCCCGCCTACCTCTTTTGTGCGACCCGCGGCCCACGCATAACAGTCCTCGTCCCATAATGTATGACTTTATGACTGTTCGTGACATTGCTAAATGGTGGAGCGCGCATCCATTGTCTCGCCTAGCGTGCACCGTTAATAACGCTTTGTGTGAGTAAGCCACATAGATGCGGCTTGCCTTTAGCATTTGTTTCGCGAGGCACCCATGCGGTCACCTCGTGTTGAAGCGTAACCGTGAAACAAAAACTCGATACTTCATGATCGTTATTCAGATTTTAGCCGGTATGTAGATCGCTATCGATATGCGTCTCGGAACCTGACGCCAAATACACTTTTAGGAATGATCCATGTGAGGACTTTTCAAATGGAGACATAAGCTTATATTTTATTGAAGCCGTCTTCAAACTGTCAAAATGAAATCTAGCCAATTCTACCGCCGCGACCGAAACGCGGAGAAGTGCAACTTTGCTACTCGTCCGTGACATTAAAAATGAGCGAGCGTCGTTCCGTTTCGTGGTTGTGCGGGTAACACTTGTCTTTATAGGGCACGTGTAGCACACGTATACGTTAACGAATGCAGAAGATTAAGATGAACTAACACCACTGCATCCTTTGTAGTGAACAGTGACGTAATTCCGGTGGTCTGCTCGTGGCGCTCGTCGGAGTTTCAGTTTCACCTGTGAGTTCTGTCGAATTTCATTGCTCCGAAATAATTAGCAGGAGCCTTGTTCTTCAAGATCGCAAAGCTGCAATGAGCTCCCCGCAAGAGATGCGGCAAGTGTACAATTTGACCCGACCACCTGGCTCGACTAATTAAAAAATAACCTATCATTTATTTCTGTCGTAATTATTGTCTACTAATGTAAGATGTGAACCACCACAGAAGTATTTACGAAGGCACCAAGCAAATTTTTTTATTTCCTTTATTTTCGAGGAGTTCCGAACACATTTCTTGAAACACCCTGTATATTGCGGTGAGTATTTGCTCACTAACGAAATCAAGAAGCACAGTGTTACGAACGCGCGCCACAGACATAACCCGGTCTGCTCACAACGCTGTTATATACGATGAACAGCGCAGAGAGTGAGCAAACGCATCGCGCGGCCTCTCAATGCATCTCGGAAAATGAGACAACGCGACCTCATGAAGCCACGAGCCGCCTGGTCTACCGTAACACAGACTATTAAACTTTATGCTGCTGCAGCGTTTGCAGCCGCCCCCGATTTCGTTTGGGAAACGTAGTCGCGCAGTCCGCACATAGGCCTAGCTAGCGCAGCTGTTACATGACGAGGACACGTACTGAATGCGACGCGTGCTCGCCTGTTCTCCTCCACCATACAGCGCGCTTGCCTCAAGTCCGCCTGCAGCAGCCTCCACAACACTGACTGCTCCACGGCATTTGCGATGGCATACGCTGACTATCAGGCTACCATCCTTCTCGACTCGTTCGCACCCACAATGCACGCGGAGCATGGTATACGCTCTTGTCGTATTTAGATTGCATGTTTTACGTCACAGTGACGCAATACGCGAATATTGGTTGCGGTGTGAACACCCACCGCAACCAAGATCAAGGGGGAAGAAACGTACCCGCTTCTACACCAGCAAGCAAACAAGGAGCGAAGGGCTGGGCTAAGCGCGTAAGCGGCATGAATACGATGTAGTAAGCTGATGATGATGATGAGTGAGCTCACCTATTTTAGGGGTGAAGCTCCTAAAGGCGTGGGTCTGTCCATCCCTTGTATGTATGTAGTATGTATGTATGTATGTATGTATGTATGTATGTATGTATGTATGTATGTATGTATGTATGTATGTATGTATGTATGTATGTATGTATGTATGTATGTATGTATGTATGTATGTATGTATGTATGTATGTGACCGCATATAGTTCCACCTTTGTCAACTGCCCACTACTTCGTCCTTGCAAACATCGCACTACACCCCATCACCGATCCACCACTTCACCGATCATAAAACAAATACTGTTGAGAAGTAGACAATATTCAATGCACGGTGGTCGTGTACTAGTATCCAAGGGCGCGTTAAAGAACCATAGATTGTCCCACTGTGTCCATACCTTGTTTGTACATGACCGCCTATAGTTCCACTTTTGCAAACTGCCCACTACTTCGTCCTTTCAAACATCCCACTACGTCCCATACCTATCCACCACTTCACCGGCCATAAAACCATTATAATGAAGGGCGAACGGAAGCGACGTATAAATACTATATACTTACGGATAATAAAGTTTCTTGTATATATATATATATATATATATATATATATATATATATATATATATATATATATATATATATATATATATATATATATATATATATATATATATATAGTGTTTGTCATGTCTTTGAGGATGTAGTGGGCAATATTCCCGGATTGTTCACGGTTTAGCGTTGAAACCCTCCAGCGCTTCACCTCACTCATCATCATTCACTCCGTGGATATGCTGTGATTTTTTTTTTTTTTTTGGCATACGTATGGATGGAGGGACCCCCTTTTTAACGTTGTAGTGGCCTGAGAGCCACCAACCTGCATTATTATTTGTCGTGTAGAGGCATCAAAGCACCCCATTGTTCCTCCGTTATAAGAGTTGGCATCCTATATACTTCAGAACACATGTCTTGTCGTCAGAGCGCGTGCATTGGTTCTTGTCATCACACTGGGTGTTTGTTTCAATGAATGTGTCTGGAAGTTTTCAAAAGTAACGGAACTGTGATATTTGTGTGTTTTCCGACAGCGATAGTATTCATCTATATTCGTCATACATTATACGTGCCCCATGCCTGCTACCATTGCTTGGCAAAGATACTTTGAAATTGTATCTGGATACGATACAATATTATATTCAGGCAAGAAGTATTGGAGATACAGACACAAAATATTATTGAACCAATTGTTTGATTGATATGTGGGGTTTAACTTCCCACAACCGCCATATGATTATGAGACACGCCGTAGTGGAGGCTCCCGAAATTTCGACCACCTGGGGTTCTTTAACATGCACCCACATCTGAGCACACGGGCCTACAACATTTCCGCTTCAATTGGAAATGCAGCCGCTGCAGCCGGAATTATTGTACCAATTGTATCCGATATCAATACTTGCCGATTGTGTCTTAAGATGATTCAATACATAAATATATATATATATAATATTATATATATATATATATATATAGATATATATATATATATATATATATATATATAGTGTTTGTCATGTCTTTGAGGATGTAGTGGGCAATATTCCCGGATTGTTCACGGTTTAGCGTTGAAACCCTCCAGCGCTTCACCTCACTCATCATCATTCACTCCGTGGATATGCTGTGATTTTTTTTTTTTTTTTTGGCATACGTATGGATGGAGGGACCCCCTTTTTAACGTTGTAGTGGCCTGAGAGCCACCAACCTGCATTATTATTTGTCGTGTAGAGGCATCAAAGCACCCCATTGTTCCTCCGTTATAAGAGTTGGCATCCTATATACTTCAGAACACATGTCTTGTCGTCAGAGCGCGTGCATTGGTTCTTGTCATCACACTGGGTGTTTGTTTCAATGAATGTGTCTGGAAGTTTTCAAAAGTAACGGAACTGTGATATTTGTGTGTTTTCCGACAGCGATAGTATTCATCTATATTCGTCATACATTATACGTGCCCCATGCCTGCTACCATTGCTTGGCAAAGATACTTTGAAATTGTATCTGGATACGATACAATATTATATTCAGGCAAGAAGTATTGGAGATACAGACACAAAATATTATTGAACCAATTGTTTGATTGATATGTGGGGTTTAACTTCCCACAACCGCCATATGATTATGAGACACGCCGTAGTGGAGGGCTCCCGAAATTTCGACCACCTGGGGTTCTTTAACATGCACCCACATCTGAGCACACGGGCCTACAACATTTCCGCTTCAATTGGAAATGCAGCCGCTGCAGCCGGAATTATTGTACCAATTGTATCCGATATCAATACTTGCCGATTGTGTCTTAAGATGATTCAATACATAAATATATATATATATATATATATATATAATATATATATATATATATATATATATATATATATATATATATATATATATATATATATATATATATATATATATATGGATGGTATACAGCCAGGCTACCCTCGCTGTTATAACCCGCGTTGCACTTTGCAACACATGCTGTGGCCATGTCCTGCCCTGCACGAGAGCCAGGGGTCTCCCTCAACGGAGGAAGACTAGCGATCTCTTCTTCTCACTA